CAGGGTGAAGAGGGGGCCGGCCATACACTGTCACCATAGAAGGTCTAGGCTGGGCAGAGTCCTACAGAGTGTCTGTGGCCCCAGGACAGGATCATTGTCTGTCTGGTTAAGGGTAGCTGGTGGCATTCATTAACTGACATTATCTTCCCAGGTCTAACCCTAGAGAAATCTACACACTCAGTGCGCACTCCATAGTTCCTAATGGCGTGCACATTTCTGTGTAAGTTTCATCTCTGCCATATTGTTAACTCCTCGCTGTAGGTCTTTGTGTTTAGGGTCAAGTGCTAGTCGTGCTAGTAGGACACACCAGCCTGAGCTAATAGGATGTTCACAGATATATCCACTCAATGAATGAATTCCAGAGAAATACCTTAACTCAGGTCAGATCTCAATCTTTTCTACATTTTTCCTTTTCCAAATCCATTTTAATGGCAGCATCCCTGTTCTCTCTCATCAGTCTCAGGTCTTTAGGATGAAGTAAGAGGAAAGCATTCTTCCTGTCAAGACTGCTGATTCTTCACATTTCGTATTTCTTCCCCTGTAGATTCATCCTCTGAGAGCTGATTCTTTGTAGCAAGAGATATCTGTCTTTTTGCCCTTCCCTTAAACCGACTTCAGCACGCCAAGGGCCAGAAGCTGTTAGCTGGGTTTCGTTTGTATATTTAATTAACCAGCTTCTCTTCAGGGTGTAGAACTCCACTTACGTTTTTAGCCTTTTGCTTCTCAGGGGCAGTGACTGAATAAGAGAGTAGTTAAAGAATACAGAAGTTTTTTTTACGGAGTCAGCCAATTACATATCCAGAGATTTGAATGATTTCTTCGTGACTGTATCCTCTAGTTTTAGCTGATGATCACGACAACGGCGAGCTTTTATTTGGGGCTTACTGTCATGGCTGTCGAGCAGCCACCGAGGTGATTTTACGTGCGTGACCGTGTACTCGCACTCCCATGTAGCAGCTCCGCGAGGAGAGCTGATCGCTGCTATTGGATAGGCGGTAACATTGAGCCTGAAGAGGACGCATGTGGGCCTGATGTCTCACCCAGAGGACTGCGGTCGCATCCTTCTCTTGGGCCTCACGTTCACGCTGGTCTCAGCCACTTTCAAGGCGCTCAGGACGCTGTGGCTGATTGGAAAACAGTCCTGCGGGACCATTTGTGATTCATGCCCCTGTCAGTGCAGGTGTGGAGTATGCACCCTCCCCTATAGGTTCGTCGCTGTGCCTTTGTGTACGTATAGTACTTTACTGTTACGTAGCTACAGGACAAAACAGTCACCGAACGAGAAATGTTGACGGCAGTAGCTAACATGATAGAAACTCTATGTGATTTTTTTTTTTAATGAATAGCACAAAAGAACATTTTCAGCAAAACTTTCTTTTCCCATGTGTTTTAGAGAGAGCTGGGTGTTTAAATATGCTCCATTATTTTTTTTTAAGTGTGGTTTGTTCTTGTGTAATCTAGTAATTTAAAAATCTTGTTTTAAATTCATATCATTTTGATACTGTGAACATATATAAGGAGAAACCTCACTAAAGTGGACGTGAGATACCAGAAGGGAGGCTGGTGGGTGAAGCTGTCCCACTCAATGTCAATCACAGAAAGAATGATCAATTACAGCTTGAACAGAGGAATCCTCAACAAGAAACACTCACCAATTACAGGCCCCAACAGGGAAAGATGTACTCTGCATCTTCTATTACAAACCTACCTCCCCTGCAACTCAGCCAATGAGAAACCATCTTCGTTCTGGACTTTTGCGTTTCTCCAGTGGACTTTGGTTCAAAACAACCCCTCCAACTTCCTCCTTCTTCTCCGTAAAACAATGTCCCTCTCTTTTCTTTGTTGGACTTACCTGTGGTTTTGCCGTAGCTCGCTTCTCCTGGACTGTGATTCTCTGCTCTTCCCGAGTCAGTCCATTTTTGCTGGTAGAATGACTAGCAGTTTTATTTTTAAGGTTAACAGTCCTCTCCTTTAATTACTGTACCCAGACAAAGTTTTGTTATTGGCTTTGTTTTTGTCATAAGCATTCTTTCCTGCCACCCACCAGTGAGGTAAAGGTTTTTAATTGAAATTTAGCTAATAGGTGTAATCCATGATATTAATCAGTGGTGGTTGCAAACTAATTGAGTGTTTTGGCATCTTCATCCTTCCAACTAATGTATTCAGACTTCGTGGAAACTGATTATGTAGAAGACTAGTACTGGTTGAAACCGTTTTTAAGTGCGAAGAAGGTGTTAACGTGAGATACATGGATCTGTAGTTTTCTTGTCTGACTTTTGTTCAGCTCTGGTATCACAGAAGTACTTGGTCTCATGAAATGAGTTGGAACACATTCCCTCCTATTTTCTGAAAAGCTTGCTCAGGATTGGTGTTGTTTCTTTCTCAAGTGTGTGTTAAGTTCACCAGTGAGGCCATCCAGTCCTACATATGAGAAGGTTTTTTTTTTTTAACTACAAATTATTTACAAGGAATAGGGCTGTTGAGGTTATTACTGTCTTCTTGAGTGAGCTTTGTATCTTTTAAAGAGTCTCTCCATTTTATCTAAGCTGTTAAATGTATTGGCATAAAGCTGCTCATAATCATATTTTTTAATACTTTTAATGAATTTAAGGATCTGTAGAGATGTCCTCTGATTATTAGCACTGTTAAATTTGGATCTTCCTTTTTTTCTTGATCAGTTTGGCTAACAGTCTGCCAATTAAATTGAACTTTTCAAAGGACCAGCTTTTCATTTAATTGATTTTCTGTATTCTCTTTTATGCTGTTTCATTGATTTCCTCTCTTTTTTTTTCTTCCCTTCTATTTGCTTTAACTTGATTTTGCTCTTTTCTTTCACTTTCTTAGGGTGAAAGCTTAAATCATTGGTCTACTTTCTTCTAGTTTTTAATGGGACAACTTAGATGACTGGTTTTAGACCGCCTTCTGTAATACAAGCCTTTAGTGCCATCAGTTTTCCTCTAAACAATGTTTCAGCCACATCCCATGAATTTTGATATGTTAGCTTTTTGTTCTCTACAAAAGATTATCTAATTTCCCTTTGCGACTTCATCTTTTGACTCGTGTCTTACATAGAAACTTGTTTAATGTCCAAATATTTTTTCCCACATACCTTTCAGTTATTGATAGCTATTTTAATTCTTTTATCATCAGGGAACATATTTTGAATGATTTCAATTATTGTAAAATGTTTTAGAATTTTTTACAGCTCACAGACTCATGTTCTATCTTATTGAATGTTCTAGGTGCACTTGAAAATAATTTGTATTCTGCTATTTTGGGTGAAGTGTTATATAAATGTCAAATCATTTAAGTTGCTTGATAGTGTTTTTGAAGTCTGCTGTATTCTACTTTCTCTCTGCTTGTTCCACGTAACCTCAGTCTGTTTCTCTATGCAGTTCTATTAGTTTTTGCTTTATGTATTTTGAAGCTCTGTTATAAGATGCATACACATTTAGAATTATGTCTTGTTGATCAGTTGACCTACTTGTTATTATGAAATGTACCTAGTTATCTCTGAGACTCTCATTCCTTGTTTTAAAGCACACTTTTCTGCTATTAATATAGCTAGCCCTACTTTTGATTGGTAGCTACAAAACACATGGTTTTCAATCCATTTATTTTTAACCTGCCTGAATATTATATTTAAAGTAAGTTTTCTGAAGATAGTATCTAATTGGATGTCAATTTTGTTTCTGTTTCATTTTTTCCATTCTGATGGTAGTCTCGAACTTGGGCGTATTTATACAGTTTATAAAGCTTCTAGAAGGTCATGATATGCTAATTCCTTCATCACAGCCATGTCTCTGTTCATTTCTTTTGATTGCTGTTTTCTCCTGGACATGCGTTGTGTATGTCTGCTTATGTGTAGGTGTGGTAACTCTTGATTAGATGTCAGACACTGTGAATTTCACATCCAGGAGAGTGCTAGATTTTGCTTTTTTTTTTTTTTTTTTAAGTTTTAACGTTGTCCTTGCACAGAGTTAAGATCCTTTGAATCTTCCTTTGAACATCTCCGGACTATTTCTCTTAAAGGTCAAACGCTCACAGTATTTGTTGTCTTTGTGAACAGCTTTAGCTGTTTGAAAAAAATGAGTGTGTCTGTCTTTTTTGTAGCGATTAAGAAAGTAGGGACATCGCCTGATGCAGTTGCTAAAACAGTAATGATTATATGATTATTTAAAATATTGCTTTAGATAATTAGCGTTGTGTGTGGATTTAGACGTTACTGTCATAGTCGACAAAGGTTTCCAGGTGGAAAGTACTGTTGTGTTCAACACGTTTCTGATAACCAGCCCTCTCTCCAGTGGCTCTATGAATAATGGTATTCACCTCCGTGTTCCCTGTACTTAACACTTACAGTTACTGAGAGTGTGGGAGGTGTTCCTTCCATGTGATGTGTTGCTGCTGTAGCTCAGCCGCATTCAGCAAGGTCTGTTTCATCCTCTGTTCCCTTATCAGGTAGCGTTACAGCTCTCCTTCAGCTCTGGCCTTTGTCCTCTGCTTCTGGTAGAGGCCCTTTCAGGATTTCCTCTCCCTGGCAGTGACGAATGACTGAATTGCTTTCAGTAGCATGGCGAGTTTTCTCAGAAAACACCAACAGCATAATCATTGCATAATCATTGCTTCCGGAAACAAAACAAAACAAAACAAACCATGGCCCATCAAGTGCAGAGGTACCTCCCTGGGCTCACTCTGCCTGGCTTCCACATTTCAGCAAAAGAGGACCGGCAAACAAAGCAGTGTTTCTTTCCAGTGAAATTGCCTTCTGTTACTTTGGGAAATGCTATAGGGAAGCCCTGAATTGCTTTTTGAGTTTTGGTTTGAGTAGGTGTGTTTCAGAGCCCCTAGCCCTCCCGTTCAGGTCATGTGTGTCAGATCAGATTGTACCTGAGAATAGGTGGCAGAGAGTCAAGGTCCCAGAGCTAGCACGGCATCCCCAGGAGGCCTTGTGGCCCTGTGCTTCCTCCACTTCCCTGAAGGCTTTCCCTTCTCTTCCCTAGGCGTGGAGAAACTCATCCACCACCTGCAAAAGCATGGTGTGCCCTTGGCCGTTGCCACCAGCTCTGGCCGCACATCGTTTGAGATGAAGACCAGCAGACACAAGGAGTTCTTCAGCTTGTTTGACCACATCGTTTTGGGGGATGACCCCGAAGTGAAGAATGGGAAACCAGATCCCGACATATTTCTAGCCTGTGCGAAGAGATTTTCTCCTCCTCCTCCCATGGAGAAGGTAAGGCCAGCAGTGAGGAGAAGTGGCGGCGGCAGCAGCCCTGTTGCCCGGTGCAGCCCCCGGGCGGGGTTTGTCCGTGACTGGAGGGCCTCGTGTCCGCTGTGGGAGGGCCACCGTGGAGAGCAGGGCCGTAGGGTGGCCCTGGGAGAGGGACACGGTCAGATCATGTCAGTTTTGGGGGGGGGAGCATGTGCCCCCGCGTCAGCAGGTCAGCGGTCTGGGATGCACAGATGGTATGTTAGAAAGCTTATGTTTGACGGAACACTGCCCAGTGGACATTCTGCAGGGAAGGGGGCTGTACTGATGTGGGAGGGCAGCATCCTTATTCGCAGTGAGCAGCCTTCAAGGAACATATTGATAACAACACAGGTGTCAATCGTCGAAACTCACGGTGCCCCCCCTCCAAATGCTTGTTGAGGGGTATCTTGTTATGGCAAGGTTTTTGCTCATAGTGACCTTTGGTTTTATCATGAAGTTTCCAGGTTTCTGTTTTTCTGCAGGACGGAGGCACTGGTGGAATTTGTGCTCCAGTGCCCTCTACAGCCTGTGTACAATACTTCCATCATGCAGGGCGCACAGTGGACATGGAGCAAAAGGTGACAGCGACCTGGAAGTCTGTTTAGAGCCAGGGGATAGTGTTTGTTCAGCTTTGCTTCGGATTCTCCTCCCTGTACCGTTACTGTTGGGATGGATAGCTTAGCCTCCACTGCCTGCTTATGCAGATTCCAGCGCAAGAAGGAGACGGTTTGAGAGGGGGCGGGCTGAGGTCTGTGTGCCCTGCAGATTCTAGAACACCCCCAGGGAGACGGTCTTGAGAGGGGGCGGGCTGAGGTCTGGCTGTGTGCCCCTGCAGATTCCAGAACACCAGGGAGACTTCTTGAGAAGGGAGCGGGCTGAGGTCTGACTATGTGCCCCTGCAGATTCCAGAACACCAGGGAGACGGTCTTCAGAGGGAGAGGTTGAGGTCTGACTGTGGGCCCCTGCAGATTCCAGAACACCATGGAGACGGTCTTGAGAAGGGACAGACTGAGGTCTGACTGTGTGCCCCTGCGGATTCCAGAACACCAGGGAGACGTTCCTGAGAAGGGACGGCCTGAGGTCTGACTGTGTGCCCTGCAGATTCTAGAACATCAGGGAGAC